TCCCAAGTATCTGCATATATCACTACATCGTCCAGATAAACAGCGCATCCGGCCAGACCAGAGACAACCCTGTTCATAAGTCGCTGAAAAGTTGCAGGCGCATTACGCAGCCCGAAACTCATAACCGAATACGAGTACAGACCAAAAGGTGTAATAAAGGCAGAGATTTCACGTGCCCTACTCGTCAGTGGCACCTGCCAATAGCCCTTTAACAGGTCAAATTTGCTCACAAACTTAGCTGCGCCGACTTGATCAACGCAGTCCTCCATCCGAGGAAGAGGAAATTAATCCGGCTTAGTGACATCGTTACCTTACGGTAGTCCGTACAAAACCTGTTTGTTCCATCCGATTTACTGACCAAGATACAGGGAGAAGCCCAACTGGAGAAAGAAGGCTCTGCTAATTTACTCTCCAGCATGTACCTGACCTCAGCATCCAGACAACGCAGTTTCTCTGAAGAAACTCTATAGAACCGTTGACGAATGGGGTCAGCATCTCCAATGTCAATATCATGTTCTATTAAGTTTGTACGTGTTGGTGTATCAGAAAACAACCCTGGAAATCTCCGAATCAGACCAACCATCTCTTTCCGCCCATCAACAGGTAGATGAGTAAGAAGGCTATCTAAAATCTCCAGTGTCTCTGAATTCTTCAATCTACCCTGCAGTATGCAATCGTCGGGACCAGAAACATCTTCCTGCTCCTGCACAGACCTAGCATGACCAGACTCCAGGGAATAAACAGTATCAGCCAAAAGAACAGCCTTACCGTCCTCTGTAGACTCCCCCTGTTCAGTCTCAGAGGAACGTGCATAATAGGGTTTTAACAAATTTATATGGCACAGTTGGTGTGCTTTCCTCCGTTCTGGAGTGGCAACTAGATAATTTTGCCCTGTGCGACATCTCCCAACTGTTCCACAGGCACAATTTGGTCCCGCAACTCTTCTAATGTAGGGTCAGTCCGTTGCGCCTCGATTAAATCGGAGCGGGATACAGATAACGGGATAACAGAGAAAACAGTAACAGACTTCTTTATGGTATTCTCGTTAGCCAGCTCCGTGACCAGGTCGTCATTGATCATAGAACGCGTCACTGCACACGCAGAAAACACCTCTGGGAAATTCTGCGCACTCTCATCAGAAATCCCTACAATTGACGGCTTAGCGGAAACCACTAAAGATGGAGACACGATAGGCCACACACGCTCCCCAGCCAAGTTATTTCCAAGGATCACGTCAATACCCTCAATAGGCAATGAAGGACGCACCCCCACAACAACCTCACCTTTCACCAGTCCACAATCCAACATCAGTTTATGCAATGGAACTGACAGAGTGTTCAACCCTATTCCCCTAATTAGAACACTATTCCCCGAATCAGTCTCCGCAGAGAAGGGTAACACAGATTCCAACACAAATGATTCAGAAGCACCTGTGTCTCTTAGGATCTTTACTGGCACTAGGTTCTTACTTCCTACCATAGACACAAAACCCTCCGTAACGAAAGGTAAATAGTCAGGATCAATATAACCCTTCACCTGGCTCTGGGCATGAGACAATGCGTCAGGAGTGAACTGATGTGGAACAGGCGCGGCTAACGCTGCAGGCCTCGATTTACCATAAGCACCTGTACTGAATTTACCCCTAGACCTAAGAATCGGACATTCATTTTTCCAATGACCTAATTCTTGACAGTAGTGACACTCTTGACCAACGTCAGTTTTACCACGGGTATCATGCTCAACCCTAGTTGAATGAAACTCTGCCCGGGAACCGAAGTATCTCGGCGAGCGAGGCCCAAATCTCTGCGAACGCCCCCACTCACTCCGAATACGGGGTTCTGCAAAAACATTTTTGTGAGTCAACACATATTCATCTGCCAAAACCGCAGCTTCAGCAACAGTCTTTATTTTTCGTTCGTTAATGTACGTCGCTATACGATCAGGGATTGTGTCCTTAAATTGTTCTAACATAATCAGATCACACAGCCCTTGGAAAGTCATAACTGCAGAGGCAGAACACCAGCGATTGAACTGTGAAGATAATATTCGCGCAAACTCAACATGAGTCTGCTGATCATCCCTTTTTAAAGTTCTAAATCGTTGGCGGTAAGCCTCAGGGACCAATTCATAACTCTGTAACACAGCCGTTTTAACCTTCTCATAACTAACACTGTCTGCTACACTAAGAGCTGAATATGCTTCTTGCGCTTTACCAGTCAGCACACACTGCAACATCAAAGTGCGATCAGAATCAGGCCAACTCCTAGCGTCAGCAACACGCTCAAACAACGAAAAGAATGTCTCCGGGTCCTTTTCATTAAACTGGGGCAACAACCGTAAATTCCCAACAATATCAAATGTGTCTGGATTACGACCAAAAGAGGAACGACCCCTAGGTAACTCTGGGTCACCTTCCCAGAGCAAACTCTCCCCTGAGAGCTTTCCTTCCCTAACCAACTCTAGTCGCTCTTGTTGCAGCTTGATTTTAGCACGCTCTATATCCTGTTTAAATTCCAATTCCCTTTCATATTTTACACGATCATGCTCCATTTTAGCTTGTTCATACTCCATTTTAGCTCTTTGTCCATGCTCTAGCTGTAACAGAAGCAGTTCTTTCTGCTGTTCAAAAATAAGACTACTATGACTAACCGATGGAGCGGTCATTGTAACATATCGGGGAGACAACGTGTCCTCAGCAGAGGCTGCCCCAGTGGTAACATCCAGAATACCACTCTCCATCAAATTGGCCTTCAATATTAACCTAATAGAATTTTTTTGGCGTTTATCACTAATTTCAACCTTGTAGTGTTCAGCAACCTTCAACAGCTGTTCTTTAGTACATAATTCTAACAGTTCTTCTGATGGAAAGCGAATGAACTCATCTACATTAGACGCCATAATCAGGGAAAAAAAAATATATATATAGATCATAATAATCTTGCTCAACCCCTCTGCTGAGCACACCAGACACAAGAGAAATGACAATCACACCGAGCACCACAGAAGAGAGCTGGAATATGGAGCTTCCCCAAAACCTACAATAACTCAACCCTAGTCTTCGTGCAGATTCGCGGTGGGTAATTACGCACTGTAGCCCGCTGGCAAGGAATTAAACCCCCCAGCACGCTGGTAGATTTCCCCAAGCCACGGATGTGCCCCCGAGACAACTGCTCAGTCCACTGACACCACACAAAAATAACAAACATTTAACCATGCCCAACGTATCCCAAAACAAAACAAGTCACTAAGCCTATCAGGGGAACAAGCTATAGCTCCGGGTAGCAAATGTCACTACCCTACCCAATCTCCCACTGAGGTACACAGCCGATTGTACTCACCTCCTCAGACCGATGTCCCAACAGCGAGTAGAGCAAGAGTTTCCAGGCTGGGCAGGGACTGGAAACTAACCAATGTACTCTCTCCAACGCAGTACAAAACCCAAAGGCAACCAATCCTGGGCCTATCAAACTCAAACAAACTAACAAAATGTACAAAGAAAGACCCTACGGAATTGGACATTAACTCCACGTTCTCCCAAACACAACCAGTTCAATATCCCGGACGAACCCCCACTTGTCACGAACCGGCTCAAGTTCGTAACAAAAGGGAGACACGTGGAGACAAGGAATACCCAAAATATATATTTATTAGCTAAAGTAAACTAAATCAAATAACGATGGGGTGTGTAATCAGTAATCAGTAGTGTAAGTGAGTGTGTGCTTGCATAAATGTAATATGAAAAAGTGTTGAGAGGTGCCAAAGCAAACAACCAAAAAGGCCACAAAAATATCACAACCAAAGTCAAAATATCTGCCTGGAGAGAGTCTCCCCAATGAATGTGGAAGAGGTCCATTTATGCTGGGACACACCCGGCCCAGGTGTTTCCCATGTAGCTGACGACCCTCCCAACTCCGCCCACCGGCATCCTAATAAGGAAACAAGAGCAAAGAGAGAATACGGCAGACAGAGTGGGAGGGTCGTCACACAACAAACTACCAATAGTGTGTTAACACACTAAACAGATCATTCGTGTCCGTGTCTAGTTCCTTTCATAACGCAGCAATAATTAAACGTTGGCTAGCTAGCACATTAACATTGGAAACAACTCTCCACCGTTGCTAAACGTTACCAGTAGCTACCCGCTAGCTAGCTAGCCTCGTGCTTCGCCGGGCTCCGCCGTAAACAATACTTACCTACAATAATTACCTACGGAAACCTACAATAACTACCTAAATAAACTACCTAAATAAACTACCTACAATACCTAACTACAACTACCTACCTACGATCTAAATACATGGTTTAAGCTTTACTCAACACCATATAAGAAGCCAAGCTTACCTCCTGCTTTACAGTCACGTCAAAGAGATACAATACAACACCATTAAAGGATACCATTGAATGGTATGTACTCACTGAAGGCTGCCACTGCCAGGATATGCCTTGCTTACCTTCGATTTCACTCTGCTGGCAATGACCTTTCTCAGTTTAACAGCCTGTAAATCCCTGAGGGTCACAGCCACCAGTATGTCCTGCTTCTCCTTGGAGCTCTAAGTGACAGACAGATGTCAGATCATAGGAGAGATGAGACTGAAATCGATCTATGACCACCAAAAAAGAAAGAAAGAAAGGTGAGTTAAGTTCTTACCTGTTGAGTATTGGAGCCCACTCTTTTTTTAGGGACGTAGGGTTGCAGAACAGTGGTAGACGGGGGAGGAGGAGGTGGTGGTGGTGGTGGAGGAGGAGGTGGGGCTGGGACTGGTGGTGTATATTTAGAATTGGTTCTGGAACCCTTTAGGATCTTACCGGGTCACCATCTGGAATATTATTGTATATGTTGAATTGGTTCTCGAACCCTGTAGGATCTTACCGGGTCACGATCTGGAATGTTATTGTATATTTTGAATTGGTTCTGGAACCCTGTAGGATCTTACCGGGTCACAATCTGGAATATTATTGTATATGTTGAATTGGTTCTGGAACCCTGTAGGATCTTACCTGGTTGCGATCTGGAATGTTATTGTTAAACTCAACCCTATGATGGACATGGAGCATCCCAATATGGTGACCCAGTTTAGAGCTTCAGCGTATTTAAAATCCCTCCTGAACGACTGTAGCAAGAAAATAAAAAAGAAAAATTCAACACTAAGTTTGTCACAGTCATACTGTATAAAGTCATCTCCCTCATGTGTCTGGATATGCTGCGGTAAACTATAGGTCAGCGGTTCCAACACTAGGGGTCGCGACCTGATGTGGGTTCGCCTGATATGAAAATGGGATGGCAGGAGAATTTCCAAAATCATACAAAAAAAAAAAATTATATATATATATATATATATATATAATAGTAATTTGTATAAAATATTATAATATTGTCTTTGTATCTCAAAATCATTATAATGTGGTTAACCTTAAAAATCTGAATGAAAATTATTCAAATCTAAAACATAAAATTCAACCAGAGAGCGCCCTTAGATCGTGAGAAAAGGCAGCACTTGACCGTTGCACTTGAATCATTCCCACTTAAGATGACCACATTTAAAATACACAAACGCGGGACAACAGGATGACTTTGCGGGACAGTGTAGCCTACCCGATACATCATTTCAAAATAGGCCAATGCATCATCACTGTCAATTGTGAATGATAATTCTTCATGTTTAATTTTTTTGCCCGCACTATAAAAACGGTTATATCGGTCTGCTAATACAGGACTAGTAAAGGCCCAATGCACTACTTTAGTGAAAATATGTATTATTGTCACGATCGTCGAAGGAGGAGGACCAAGGCGCAGCGTGATATTCGTACATCTTAATTTATTAAGTGCACACACGATAAACAAAACAACAAACGATACGTGAAGTCCAATGGTACTAACACAAACCAACTGGAACAAGATCCCACAACACTGTGGGAAAACTGGCTGCTTAAGTATGGCTCCCAATCAGAGACAACAAGCAACAGCTGATACTCGTTGCCTCTGATTGAGAACCACACTGGCCAACATAGAAACACAATACTAGATCTACGACATAGAACAAAAACACATAGACTCTACACACCCTGGCTCAACATATTCGAGTCCCCAGAGCCAGGGTGTGACAGTACCCCCCCCCCCCCCAAAGGCGCGGACTGCGACCGCGCCTAAACATAACCGAACAGGGGAGGGCTGGGTGGGCATTCCTCCTCGGAGGCGGTTCCGGCTCCGGGCTTGACCACCACCCTCCAACAATCCCCCCGTAGCGCCCCTGGTCCGGTCTGGCCCCGCTGGCTGGAGCTGGACTGGACATCGTTGGAGCGGATTGCTTAGGCTCCGGTGTGGAGCAGCTGACCGGTACCTGACCAGGCACCGGTGAACCGGGCACGGGCTGTGCCGGACTGACGACACACACCCCAGGCTTGGTGTGGGAAGCAGGAATGGGCCGGACCGGGCTGACGACGCGCACCCCTGGCTTGGTGCGGGGAGCAGGAACGGGCCGGACCGGGCTGACGACGCGCACCCCTTGCTTGGTGCGGGGAGCAGGAACGGGCCGGACCGGGCTGACGATGCGCACCACAGGCTTGGTGCGGGGAGCAGGATTGGGCCGGACCGGGCTGACGACGCGCACCCCTGGCTTGGTGCGGGGAGCAGGAACGGGCCGGGCCGGACTGGCGACGCGCACCATTGGCTTGGTGCGGGGAGCAGGAACAGGCCGGACCGGGCTGGCGACGCGCACCATTGGCTTGGTGCGGGGAGCAGGAACAGGCCGGGCCGGGCTGGCGACGCGCACCATAGGCTTGGTGCGGGGAGCAGGAACAGGCCGGGCCGGGCTGGCGACGCGCACCATTGGCTTGGTGCGGGAAGCAGGAACAGGCCGGGCTGGCGACGCGCACCATTGGCTTGGTGCGGGGAGCAGGAACAGGCCGGGCCGGGCTGGCGACGCGCACCATAGGCTTGGTGCGGGGAGCAGGAACAGGCCGGGCCGGGCTGGCGACGCTCACCATTGGCTTGGTGCGAGGGGCAGGAACAGGCCGGGCCGGGCTGGCGACGCGCACCATAGGCTTGGTGCGGGGAGCAGGAACAGGCCGGGCCGGGCTGGCGACGCGCACCATTGGCTTGGTGCGAGGGGCAGGAACAGGCCGGGCCGGGCTGGCGACGCGCACCATTGGCTTGGTGCGGGGAGCAGGAACAGGCCGGACCGGTTTGGCGACGCGCACCATTGGCTTGGTGCGGGGAGCAGGAACAGGCCGGGCCGGGCTGGCGACGCGCACCATTGGCTTGGTGCGGGGAGCAGGAACAGGCAGAACCGGGCTGGTGACGCGCACCATTGTCTTGGTGCGGGAAGCAGGAACAGGCCGGGCTGGCGACGCGCACCATTGGCTTGGTGCGGGGAGCAGGAACAGGCCGGGCCGGGCTGGCGACGCGCACCATAGGCTTGGTGCGGGGAGCAGGAACAGGCCGGGCCGGGCTGGCGACGCGCACCATTGGCTTGGTGCGAGGGGCAGGAACAGGCCGGGCCGGGCTGGCGACGCGCACCATAGGCTTGGTGCGGGGAGCAGGAACAGGCCGGGCCGGGCTGGCGACGCGCACCATTGGCTTGGTGCGAGGGGCAGGAACAGGCCGGGCCGGGCTGGCGACGCGCACCATTGGCTTGGTGCGGGGAGCAGGAACAGGCCGGACCGGGCTGGCGACGCGCACCATTGGCTTGGTGCGGGGAGCAGGAACAGGCCGGGCCGGGCTGGCGACGCGCACCATTGGCTTGGTGTGGGGAGCAGGAACAGGCCGGGCCGGGCTGGCGACGCGCACCATAGGCTTGGTGCGGGGAGCAGGAACAGGTCGGGCCGGACTGGGAACACGCACCACTAACTTAGTGCGGGGAGCAGGAACGGGCCGGACCGGACTGGTGACACACATCACTTGCTTGGTGTGAGGAGCGGGACTGGGTTTCTTCATAACCCTCCACTCCCTCAGCTGCCTACACAGTTCCTCTCGCCGTGCCTCTACTCTCTCCTTCTCCCTTATCGCCTCCAGTAACTCCTCCCTCTGAACCACTAACTCCTGCTCCCTCTGGACCAATAGCCCCCTTAACCTGGTGGCCTCCTCTCCTATTCTCCCAATATGCCCTGTAGCTGCCTCCTGCTGCCCCGTCGCCCATGCCGTGTGCCCCCCCCTAAAAATGTTTTGGGGTTGCCTCTCGTCCGTCCGACGACGACACTGTTGACGCCGTTGCTCCTCTCTCGCCAGAGCCTTAACTTTAGCCCATGGCCCTTTCCCCGTGAGCATGTCCTCCCAGGACCACCATTGGCCCACCTGGGCCATCGCCAACCTCTCCAGCTCCTTACCCGGCGCTTGCTCCTGGACACGCTGCTTGCTCCTGTTTTGGTGGGATCTTCTGTCACGATCGTCGAAGGAGGAGGACCAAGGCGCAGCGTGATATTCGTACATCTTAATTTATTAAGTGCACACACGATAAACAAAACAACAAACGATACGTGAAGTCCAATGGTACTAACACAAACCAACTGGAACAAGATCCCACAACACTGTGGGAAAACTGGCTGCTTAAGTATGGCTCCCAATCAGAGACAACAAGCAACAGCTGATACTCGTTGCCTCTGATTGAGAACCACACTGGCCAACATAGAAACACAATACTAGATCTACGACATAGAACAAAAACACATAGACTCTACACACCCTGGCTCAACATATTAGAGTCCCCAGAGCCAGGGTGTGACAATTATTATGTCATTGTGATTTTTCACGGGGTGCTGCAGCACCTTACTTCCCACTGCTATGATTATATCTTTCAGTCTAATGTGGCTATTTACCTACTTTTCTAGCTTTTTGTAAGTAGTTAGGAGACCTAACTATGAGATATTGTTGAACTTGCAGCCAATCAATTAGATGTTTTATACAATCTGTGAGTAACAAGGTGGAAATTAACTGTCCTCTCCAAGTTTAGCAGGAATTTAGCCTGAAAGGATTTGAGAAATATTTGTTGACGATAGGCCTATGACATTGGCCTATGTCTCCTCTTCTGCTGCAAAGAATACCACATCTCAACAATGATTGGAGAACTGTTTAACATCACCATGGCTACCACATCCTTATGATACTTTTTCATAAGGGCAACGTGACTGCAAGAAACAAGTTGGAATGTCTGACTGAAATACTGGACAAATCAACGTTTTTTCTACAATTGGTGGCGTTTGAATTTGTTGATAAAATGCGGGACATGATTGTTTAGTTGCGGGACAAAGGGCCAAAATGCTGGACTGTCCCGCACAATCTGGGACATGTGGTCACCCTATTCCCAGGTGAATGGCTAGGCCCACTACAGAATGAAACCACACACTATTTCAGAGATATTACCGCCACAATCAATATGGTGAAAACAAGGTGTGGGGATACCGAGGCGCAGAAACACTAATCAATACCTTTGTCAGATAACACTGTAAAATGAAGAATTTATGCTATAGCTAGCAATCCAAATGAAACCTACAGAACCACTCAAATAATCCCCAGCTTTTGCTTTCCAAATGGACGTTAGTTGTGAGGGCCGAGATGCCCATGCATATTATTTTGTTCGCTACCTGTCGGGGGATGCTATTCACGAGGACGTATTGTTCTGTCTCACGATTCTCAAGCATGAAACTGTACAGAGGATGCGCTGCATGGCTATACTGAAGAAAAACAGATTCCATGGTAACGAATGGTTTAAAAAAAAATAGACTTGACTTTCTGTGTAATGAAAAGAAAATGTGTCTCCTTCCCTTTGTAACTGACATATTTGGGAAACTGAACGAACTGAACGCAAGCATGCGTGGGGAAATACAAAAACATTCTACAGGTGAGTGACCGAATCAGTGGATTCAGAGGAAAGACTTCTTATTGGAGAGAAATCTGTTTGACTGTGATCCTGCCTCAGTTGACATGCCTGTAAGTGAAATCGAAAGCTTATCGAGCCGTCATATGACCGAATGCTGCAGATAACCCATTTTGGTTCCTGACTCAAAGGGAATACCCTGCTGTCTCTCTCCGAGCATTAAAACTCATGGTACCCTTTGCCAGCTCATATCTGTGTGAGGCTGGATTTAGTGCACTCGTCTGCATTAGAACCAAATATCGATCCAGGTTGGAAGTGACAGCAGAGATGAGGTGGGCACTGTCAACCACACCCCCTGACTTTGAGAAGCTCCAATGCGACATGCATCAGGTCTCTGATCTCATCATCTCATTAGTGGTGATGAGATAAGAGACATTATGTCAGACCACTTTGCTATTGACTGTCATAGACCCACATTAAAAGTATGTGATGGTGAGTTGAGAATGCAATCAGAAATACTGTTAGAATGTTTTGCAATTAACTGTCATAATAAAAAAGTAAACATAGGCTCTTAATTACAAAAAAAGAAATTCACATGTTTGGGGTCATGAGAGTTTTCAGATGGTGACGTGGGCCAAAAAAGTTTGGGAACCCCTTCCACAGGTCAAAGTGTGGTCAGTAAAAGGGAGCCGAAGGCAGCTAGCTACTCACCATGAGCACAGCGAAGTTAGTAGTGTGATTACAGAAACATCGCAGGCCGTCTTCTGAGTGGTTGACTTTGGAGCAGCCAGAGGTGCTCCAGTCTTTCAACGTGTAGTTCCACCACACGCAGGCAAAGTCATAGAGGGAGGCGTTGGGGACAGCCTGAGAAGTGAGAACAGAAATAAACTCTCTGTAAAATGGAAAACTTAGATCAGGGGTGTCAAACTCATTCTAGTGTCTGCTGGTTTTTGGTTTTTCCTTTCAATTTAAGACCTAGACAATCAGATGAGGGGAGTTCCTTACAAGAGAGGAGCGAAAACCCACAGCCACTCGACCCTCCGTGGAATGAGTTTGACACGTGACTTAGATAATGGAAAACTTCCCATTAGGTTTCTCAGAGAATTTGGACCACTATGTGTTTACTGATTCCAAGATAAATCTTACTGTGGGCTTGAAGAGCATCTCAACATGCAACCCAGACACTTGTCCCAGGTTAGCAGAGATGACCCTTCTGCTGGTTCCTGAAGCAGCTGTGAAAGTCCTGGACCTGAAGAACCGGTAATTTTGGTAGAGCACAAAACCAATGGAGTAGTTTGTGTTTTTATTACGTAAAACTGAGTGGAGTGAGGGAGAAAGAGAGTGAGAGGGGGTGAAGAGAAAGAGAAGGGGGAGAGAGAAAGAGAGGGGGAGGAGAGAGAGATTGGTGTTAATCTCAGGACTTCATATACATGAGTAGCTTGACTTTGCCTTGTAGACTTATCGTGGATGCCAAATTACTTCTCATTAGTTTACTTATCCATATCTCATGTGACTCAATTTGGCATTGCTGACCTGATTTTGGCGACCACAAAGAGTAGTTAAGTGCTCTCGGTGAAAGCTCTACAAGGAAATTGAAGCTTGAGTTTATATACTGTTTGCATACCAACATTGGCTCACCTGGTGTGAATTTTATGACAATCTGGACATCGGTAGCACCTCCTTTGTCAGCTATCAGTTCAGAGGTATTGGTGTTGAGATTAATTCTGTCGGCCACAAAATTACCAGAACTTCCTGGAGAAGGAGATTAATTTGATTTAGAAATTTAAAGAGGAACAATATAGTGTTCCTTCTGCACTTGTCCGTAGTACAGGCCTCCTGTAGCTCAGTTGGTAGAGCATGGCGCTATAAAGAAAAATGTATGCACTCACTAACTGTAAGTCGCTCTGGATAAGAGCGTCTGCTAAAATGACTAAAATGTAAAATGTACAACAAATCAAATCCATACCAAACCTTATTGACCAACAGCAGAGGAGAAACATTTGAATAATGAGAAGTTTTAACCAGTCTGTCAACACAGATATAAACTATCACTTTAAATGCCAGTATGTAGGTTCACTAGCAGTCCCACCCACCAGTCAGAGCACTAAACTGGATCCCTACTGTGTCACTTGGTACTTGGACAGACTGGACTACCAGGTTGGGCTGAACCACCAAGGACACAACACTGTGCTGGTACAGGGAAAACTTCTCCAGGGTCTCTGTGAGGCTGGGAGAGAAACACAGAAAAACATTAGTTTACATGCACCCATGCAGACACGCACAGAGACACACGTACACACATAAACTCAAACATATGCAGCACACACACACACACCTCTGGACAGCATCACTCTCCTGTGTACTCTCCCCACTGGCATTCAGCAGCTGACTGATGGTAGTTACAGCTGCCACTGCGATGTCCTGCAACATGATCAAAACCAGGGGATGACCCTCAAGTGTTCGAATCACTGCAGTAACAACCTCACATTTATCTCCAGAACATGTCATAGTCAAGAGTTGATTTGAAAACATGTTATACCTCTGTGATATTTACAGACTGAAGCAGAGTGTTAGCTATCTGAGCTGCTGTGGTGATGTTGTCAGCTGATAGCCGCTCTGGTTGGGAGGTCAGGATCTGAGTACTGAAGGCTAGCTGTGCTAAATCACCTGAACTGCTGTAGATCTGAATAGGGAGAGAGATTTTTATTTTTTATTTTTTTCAACAGAACATTGTATAAGTGTCAGCAACATGCTGAACTGTGAGTACATTGGGATATTAAAATTGCCAACACTAACTATGTGGCTCAGTTGGTAGAGAATGGCAATTGCAACGCCAAGGTTGTGGGTTCAATTCCCACAGGGCAAAAGTATGAAAATGTATGCACTCACTACTGAATGTTCCTCATCAACTGTTAAGCAGAATAAAGGAACAGAATACATGAGCTGAAGGTAAAAGCCAGTTGTTACTGATCTTCAAACTGTAAGATCGACTCCTCATAATGATAACTGTAACTGACCCAAAGAAAGAAGAACGCAAAATCGAGACTGGTCATAAATCAGGATCATAAGAATATTGACTTACATTTCCTTGAATGCCACTGAGGGTCAATTCACACTGCAGCTCCTGAGGAGGACCAAACATCGGAGAGCCAGTGTCATTCAAACATCTTGCTGAGGCTTCTGGTAAACCGGCTGGAGGAACCAAGACAAAAAGATACTCAAGATTTTGTGTTACCTAATGCAACATTAATTAGGACTGTAACAGATGAATACATTTTTGTAATTTTAGGTGAATAAAAGTAACATACCACTGGTTGTCTCCTCACCACACAGTTGTTCTGAATAAGCAGACCAGCCAACCGTTGTTCTTGGGAAGGATAATCCATAGGTGATGGTGGAATTGCAGAAATTCCCTATCGAAGTAAAATGCATTTCAACATGGACCAAATGTATGACTGCAAACATGAAATGTACATTCTGAATGTGAGATCCAGGGAATAGTGTTGTGGACTGTGAATGTGACATCTAGGGTTAGGTATAGTAGTGTAGTGGTCTGTACCGTGAATGTGAGATCCAGGGTTAGGTATAGTAGTGTAGTGGTGTGTACTGTGAATGTGAGATCCAGGGTTAGGTATAGTGGTGTAGTATTGTAGAGCGGAGTCTGAATGTGAGATCCAGGGTTAGGTATAGTAGTGTAGTATTGTGGAGTGGAGTCTGAATGTGAGATCTAGGGTTAGGTATAGTAGTGTGGTATTGTGGAGTGGAGTCTGAATGTGAGATCCAGGGTAGGGTATAGTGTAAGTGTGTGGATGTACCCTCTGAACAGGTCTCTCCGGTCATCAGGACAGATACAGTCTCCACTCTGCAGCTCACCACCATTGATACAGACCAAAGGAGTGGTTGTGGTGGTAGAAGGGAGACTGGTACTGGTGATAGTGATAGAGGTAGGGTGACCAGTAGTTGGAAGTCCTGAAGCATTTAGGTAACCAGTAGTTGGAGTGTCAGTAGTTGGAGTGTCAGTAGTTGGAGGGTCAGGGGTTAAAGGGGCAGCAGTAGTTGGAGGGTAAGTGGTTAAAGGGGCAGCAGTAGTTGGAGGGTAAGGGGTTAAAAGGGGCAGCAGTAGTTGGAGGGTAAGGGGTTAAAGGGGCAGCAGTAGTTGGAGGGTAAGGGGTTAAAGGGGCAGCAGTAGTTGGAGGGTCAGGGGTTAAAGGGGCAGCAGTAGTTGGAGGGTCAGGGGTTAAAGGGGCAGCAGTAGTTGGAGGGTAAGGGGTTAAAGGGGCAGCAGTAGTTGGAGGGTAAGGGGTTAAAGGGGCAGCAGTAGTTGGAGGGTAAGGGGTTAAAGGGGCAGCAGTAGTTGGAGGGTAAGGGGTTAAAGGGGCAGCAGTAGTTGGAGGGTCAGGGGTTAAAAGGGGCAGCAGTAGTTGGAGGGTCAGGGGTTAAAGGGGCAGCAGTAGTTGGAGGGTAAGGGGTTAAAGGGGCAGCAGTAGTTGGAGGGTCAGGGGTTAAAGGGGCAGCAGTAGTTGGAGGGTCAGGGGTTAACGGGGCAGCAGTAGTTGGAGTAGTTATGTCAATGGTGGTTGGAACGGCAGAGGATGTGGTGAGATCCCCCTGTAGCAAAGAGACTGCCCAAAAAATGTAAATAACTCTGTAAACCACATAAACAAGGGTACATAGTGTCAGTTGCTATACATTTTGGAGATTATCCAGACTGTTCCAGTTTCATTGTCTTCACCAGTGTAGAAATGTTTTCTACTTTACTTTATGAGAGAAAGAAGTCATTATCACTGCCAATAAACAGTAGACATTTGATAGCAAAAGCAACTCTGTTATAAACTGTATCTGAGAACTGACAGTAGTCTATTCACAGTATGTAAACAGCTTAACAGTAAATCTAAATAGTGTTTGAATAATAATAAAGTCTGAAACAATGTCTTCATTGATGTTATTGTATCCCTCGCAGCAAACAGACAAAACATCAGTCAATCATTTACTATAAACCAAACTTTAAAATTCATAAACCAAACTGTAAATACTCTAAGGTCATATATTGGATATACTCTATTGATAAGTTAAATGCATCATACATCTTTGCACATCGTAAGTGAAAACAATTTTCCTACACAGTTCTCAATCAGACAAGAAACTTAACAACAGCATCATACACTGAGTATACCAAACATTAGGAACACCCCACCCCCACCCCCCCTTTGACCTCAGAACAGCCTCAATTCATCAGGGCATGGACTCTACAAGGTGTCGAAAGCATTCCACAAGGATGCTGGCCAATGTTGACTCCAATGATTCCCACAGTTGTGTCAAGTTGGCTGGATGGTTGGCTGGATGTCCTTTGGGTGGTGGACCATTCTTGATACACACAGGAAACTGCTGAGCGTAAAAAACCCAGCAGCGTTGTAATTCTTGACACAAACCGGTGCGCCTGGCACCTACTACCATACCCCGTTCAAAGGCACTTAAATATTTTGTCTTGCCCATTCACCTTCTGAATGGAACACAAACACAATCCATGTCTCAACTGTCTCAAGGCTTAAACATCCTTATTTAATCTGTCTCCTTCCCTTCATCTACATTGATTGAAGTGGATTTAACAATTTACATCAATAAGGGATCATAGCTTTCACCTGGATTCACCTGGCCAGTCTATGTCATGGAAAGAGCAGGTGTTCCTAATGTTTTGTGCACTCAGTGTACATCTGAACATCTTAAATCACCCTGAATAAATCAAATATAGAGCAAGTCTTACCTGTAGCAAAGACAGCCATAATCCATAGCTCCTTCATCTCTGCCGTTTAAAGACATGCAGTGTAAGCAGACTGCACATTATTAGGATGTCTGTTGGTCTTATACTGCTCTGTTCTTCACCTGTTACAGAGACTGCAGTGACATGCAGGTACCAGTTAATGATTTACTATTGAAATTAAGGGAAAAGTACTGTACATTGGCTCCAACACAACCCACGTTGTCAACAGGATCAGTAAAGACAATGACACAAATTCTTTGAAAATAGATCAGGTATGACTGGATGAATAAATTGGATACACATGGATGGATACTGTGATAACCAGTCAACCAATAGCATTACCCTTCTATATGCAAAACATTATTGGTTGCAGCTGGGAAGGTACAGTACATATTTTGGTAAACAGGCCAACTTTTTTCCACACAGTAAAAAATGGGGTGTTAATATTTCAGAGTAAAGTTATTTTAACCCAGATAGAGTATTTTCAACATTTTTGAGAGTAAAGTTGCTCTATCAGTGGAGTTAAAAGTGAGTGTAAAAATCTGCAGATACGCAGTGACAATTTCAACTCTACAGCAGTGATGAATACCCGCCACTCTGCTTTGCTGAAGTTTGGCACGTACGTTGGTGGAGGAAGATTGCGAAGGAGTAGCTAGGCCACAGATATTGCTAGGTAAGTTACATCCCCGTTTTTTCAACACCAAACCGGTATTTTTTTTAACTTTACATAATTTTAGAGTTGTGCTGATGTCAAGGTCATATTTTAAGTTACGAGTTCCATGCGGCGGTCCCCCTTGCAGTGAGCTCGTCATCAGCCAGCTAAATTAGCTTGTAAGTTCAGATGGTTGACAGTAATAACTGTTATATGATATACCCATGGAATATGTTTGATATTTTTGTGAATGGCTTGCTGTTTCATATGGCTAAAAATAGGTAACGTTAACTTAGCTAATCAGTTCGTTTGAAGGACACCACCGTTTGGCATGAGCGCAGATTGTGCTTGTCATGCGGTTAGCTAGCTTGCAATCAGTATCGGTAACTGTCTTTCTTTGTGTTGCAATATTTTCACGAATGAAGTTTGTCAGAATGGTAAATACGTAAAATAACGTTCGCTAACAACAAAACATTTATACAGATAGTATTGTTAGCTAACGTTATTGTATAGCTTCCCAGGCTTCCTTACACTAACGTTAACTGTTTTTTATAAAGCTATATATAACGGTAATGTTAGCATGCTTCTGATAGTTAGCCAGCTAATGTTGGTGTTATAAAACGATAACTTAGATCACTGATTTGCATGACGGGTTTGTTTAACATTGCTTAACCATTTTAATGGTTAGCTACTGTTCGAACTAAAATGGCTAATGAGCTAGCTAACTTTGACACATAGCTAGTTATTTGGTAGCTAATGGGACAATGTGCCTCTAAACTTGAACTAGCCTACACCCATTTGCTGCAGAAAATGGCAGCTTAACGTTATATTCAACCAGCACAACTTTGTCTACTTCAGCCTTTGTAATTGCAGTGTAACGTCTAAGTAATGCATAGTGCATTGCGTAGCTAGTACTACTGAGATAAATGGATAGTTAGCTAACGCTTAGTTGAACCAGCACTAAATGATGATTTTGAATATATATTTTCTTTGTTAACAGAGGCAAAATTCTGTTGCGTGTTCAGCTCGGGGAAGAGCAGAAATACGTCAAGCTGTCTGAGCTGACATTCAATGCTTTCTTGAAAGAAGGTAGGTATAATAGGTTAAAGCAATACATATCACCCTAATGACAAAATAATACAGCATTAAGCTATTATCTTATGATATCTATTTAGGTCTATAGTCATTTCTGCTGTGCTTTATATTTTCAGTAACATAAAATCAGGTGCAGATCCTTGTCTTTCATCATTTTGTGAACACATGAGGCAACCTTAAGTATGAACTTGGATTCTTGTGAGAAGGGAATGCATGTTTTTCTTTTTTTCTTCTTTTTTTAACAGTGTGTCTAAAATTCAACATACCAGAAAGCAGAAAGCCAGACATTAAGGTGTATGACCAGTCTGACACAGAAGTTGACTCAGATGTTTTTGAAGAATTAGTAAAGGAGTCACCTGGAACTTTCAGAATCATGCTGGGCAATGGACTTGGTATTCATTCATTCAATTAGTTTTTTAGTTTAAAGGCCAGAATGAGAACCTTTATTGTCTTAAAAATAACAGTTTATTGTAATATGTTTCTATGTTTTGCACAAATTTCATAATGAACAGATACCTCTCATTCATCATCATGCTCGGGTACATCTGATGACACCATCATTCTGAATTTCACTGTGTGTGACGATGTTGAAGAAGTAGCGGCTGGCGAAGGAAGCCAGCCTAAAAGGCCATGCCACATAAACTATGAGGCAAAAGCAGTAAGTGGTGAACATTGCTGTTAAGTCCAATCTGAATGTTGTTTCATCATGTGACAGCATTACATATTGTTTTACAATTACGGAAAGCACATTAGTTTCCACCTATAGCTGATTGAAAAAATCCTAACATCAAAGCCTGGTGGTGAACGCATTATGCAAGAGTATGGAAAAACCAAATCTCTGACAGATGCCACCAGAAGACAGATGATCAACATACTTGCTGCTGAGATGACAGAAACACATGGGTAAGCATTAAGCATATAGATGGGCTGTAAAGAAACATTGTTATTATTTTCCGGTTATTAATTATGTAAAATGTGTTGTGCAATATCAATTCAGTGTGATGTTAACTTTGAATTCATATGCTAGGACATCCCCCCCCAAAAGTGTCAGAGTGATGTATGCACAGGGGATAGTAGCTTTGTTTCCCTATCTAGAAGACCCATACTCACAACATGGATATGTAAGTAAATGGGTTATTGCAACATTATGCACATATTCACTCTATGAAATGGGAATAGTACTCCTTTATAATTTATTTATAATAATATAGGATCATTACTACGATCCGGAGAGTGGTTCCGGATACCTTGCATGGCGATTGAAGACCATACAAAGAAAAACAGCAGAGGAAAGAGGTGCCTCAGTCAGCAAATCTCCTAAAGGTATGTTTTCTGATCAGTGACATGTAATTATAATGGTGACCTGTGAATTGTACAGAAAGGATTTCTTAACACTGTATTTTGTCTTAAGTTGGTGGGCCAGGCCGTGATCGTCAGCCCTTCACCTATGACAGAGAGCCATCTGATGAGGATGTGGAAGCAGCTATTGCTGTTTTGAGACACTCTGCTGATGAAAACACTGTCCGTGAGAAGATGAAAATGACCTTCATATATCGGCAAGCAATGGTCAACGATGAAGCCAAATCATCAGATGTCTTCTCGGTCTTCCCAAGATTTCTGGACACACCAGGACTGGTATGACAACTTAATTCACTGCATCACCAAAAATATCCAATGAAGAATAAGGTAACACTCATTATTTCTGTCTTTGTGTGTTACATTGCAGATAGAACAAGATTTCAGACTTCTGTTTGGTGAGGCCACAGCCAACAAATTCTTGGAGAAGTGGCCAACCACTTTCAAAGCAAAAGTAATAAAGGAAAGCCATGGACTTGTATCCACCACAGAACTCTTGGATTTGATGCGCAATGCTGAGTCAGCTGCTGAAGTTGAGAATGGTATGAATGAACTGTTTTACTTTTTATGTGGATAATGTAGGTGTGCATTATATGTCCATAATGGTGCAAGTTGTGAATAAGAATGTTATGCTACGGCACAATGTTAACCAGGTTTTTATTTACTTATTTGTAGGCTGGGACAGTGACATGTCTGCCATCTTGCTGCTGCTACATTTGCTACCACCATCTGCACAAGGTAGAAAGA